AAATTAGACTTTATATTATTGGTTTAGCATTCGTTACTAGTTAAAATATCTAATGAAATAACAGAAAAATATCACTTTATTGCTTTCTTATTGACCTGACGAAGCCGTAGTAGGACTCATTACTAGTCTCGAATTATATGATATTGGTATTAGATGGCGATGTTCTATCACTCATCTGTAATAAAATAAAATAAATTTTAAAAATATTTCTATTTGTTTATCTTACAAATTTTTGTTTATGATTCAATCATTCTTGTATTTTTTTTGTAAAACAATTCGGTTCTAATTTACGTCTTGTTTGTCTTTTATATAAAGGGATGTGAAGCAACTGGGTATGATCCCACGTGCCATAGTAGGACGACTGACAATGAGAGATCAGATAATGATGAGTTGAGGGTGAATGGAGATCTACAAATTTGATCAATTAAGAGAAGAAAGAGCGAACACGAAGAATGAGAATAGTTGAATAAAAGATTGACTAGTAATGATATAGTCAAGACGAAATATATTTGCGCAAAAATGGTGACACGAAGAGATTGATAAGAGAAGTAGATAGCGCGTTGACAATAAGAATAGAAGATGAAAATTGGATAATGAAATACTAGTAGTGAGAGTGAACTAATTACGAAGAAAAACGAATAGTGAAACAAAGATGAAAGCCAGCGACGAAAGAATAGAAAATAGCGAAGCACATAGATATTGATAAGTGTACATGCAACAACACGAAAGAGAGAATTTGAGCAACGGTTAGTGCCGTCACAGGGGGATAAGAATGATATTTCGATGTAAGATCAAATGAAGCGATGTGTAGAAGTTCACCACGTCTGTCAAAAAATCTGAACAATCGATGCATTTGAGCCATCTCCTCTAATGTATGCTGATAAATCGAAGAACGATTGCAGTGCATCATACTAATACGTAATTCTAATACATTTAAATGAGGTAGACGATAATTCAAACATTGAGCTAGTGTGTCAATATCCACTGTTTCATTGCATACTTTATATGGATCAGTCGTGAAATGGAATACACGAAGATTGGGAAATAAGGATAGTAAGATATCGAATTGACCATTGTGAAACAAAAAACGACGTAGTCTTACGAGTCGAAGACATCTCAAAGACAAGTAAGGAGAATTTACATCTATCAATGATCTTGACATATTTCCATAAGAAAATTCAAGAGAAGTCAAATTAGGCCATTTTAAAAGAATGTTTTGAAAATCACGTGCATGCCCTCTGTGTATAGTAAGTTGCCGAAAAGCTTCCAATGCTTTACTTATCGAGAATGATCGAACCATTTTTGAATATTTGGTGCGGTAAAGATGACATACTTTCAAGTGAGGAAATGCACCAGTAAAGATCCAATCAGCAAGTCTTTGTGAACAATAAGGTAATCGTAAAGATTGCAGTTGTGGACATGAGTCAGGACGGATGAAAGCATCTATTTGTTCAATTGGTTCAATATATTTCTTACAACAAGTTCTCGAAGGAAGACTGAGCGAACGAATGCCGATGAAATGTGAGATGTTATATTGGGAAAGCAAAGATGAAGTTGAATGATGAAAATTAATTTGTATTGCACTCAACGAGTGGAAAAACGAGAAGGCAGGATCACAATGAGACGTTGTAATCAGCATTAAGTTGGGTAATGATTTGACTATTGAATTAAGACGAATGTTCAAATTAGATAAGGAGAAATAGAGTTCATGAGCAAAGAGATAACGAAAGATTTCTATAAGAATTTCATTAGGTAAATCTTCCAATCGAGAAACAGCAAAATCGTCCATTTCGTCTTCTTCTTTATCATACAATATTATAAGAGAAGAATGATTATTCTTCCCGTCAATTTATTCGATAGAGAACAAAGCTGCTTGGCATTATGTCTTTGTATTGTATATCTCCACCAATAAAATAATAGGTCAGAGAAGTGTTTTTATATCTTTCTCCTTATAGAAACATTGATTTTAGATGTTTTAGCACACTTTGCAGAGAGATATATCCAGCATGATTTCCAATATGCTACAATAAGCATTGATGCATGATAAGATCTGTATTGAACATATGGCTAAACAATGAGACATTCGCTGCAACAAAATGTTAATCATGAAAAAATATCGAATCGGTTGCAATAAGAGGCTAATTCAGATGAAGATTATTTACATGTACATTCAAACACGATTTCATTTCGGACGTTTCGTTTGCCAAACCGTTTAAAAAAACCATCGAAAAAATCAGGATAATAATTCAAAATTTTCTATGACATATTAAGATGCCTGTATTTTCGTCACAAATATAGTGAAAATGCTGAGATTTTCGTCTATGACAGACAAAGGCGTCTGGTATATATACTGTTAACATTAGCCTTTACGACTGATAAAATACATGAAAAGATAACATTTTTGAACAGAATCAAAATTTAGTACCCACTCTTTATAAACCCCCTCCCAGAATAAAAGGCCATGGAAAAAGTAATGATGTGCCGAGACACTGTATAAGGGCATGGCCTTTTATTCTGGGAGGGGGTTTACCACAACACATGGACTATGATGGATCAGTGTTAATCTAAAAACAGAAGCAGAATAAGATTCAGGTCGCATCTTCACTTCACTTTTCTAACCTGGCTCCTTTTGCTTCAATCACCGGATGCTTCTTGATTTGTATTAGTTTACGTGTAAACTCTTCAAGTGGACGTACTTCTCTACAGTCAACCCAATCTTTTTCGAACAGTGATGAAATTTTTGTTTGTTCCGTTTCTTGACCGGCGTTTACCAAGAAACATCCTTTATTGAATGCACTAAAAGCTACAGAATAAATCACTATTGAAGTACGAAGATGAACCAAGTGTGATGAAATATTTACTAACAAATTTAGGTTATCCTCTCTGGAAGAAAAATATCTAGGAATATCTGACCATGTACAAAAGGTCTTTAAAAACATTTCCTTCTCTTTCGTAGACTCTACAGTAGTTCTTGATTGAAATTCAGTCTTGTTCGTCAACGCACTCGGTATGGAGACGTGAAGTCTTATTCTGTGTATAAACGCGTCTTAGTTCTAGTAGATCTGTTCATCACCATAGTGAAGTGTCGAAAAAGAAGAAGAAGGTGAAAAATATCATTTGGTTTGCATAATGATCGAGTTACATATTACTTGATGAAATTTGCTAGTATTTGCGTATTCAGTAGGTAGAACCATTAAGGACAATATGCTCGACAGTAAGCTGTTTGAAGAAATGTATACTTCAAAATTTTACAGATTATTATGCATGAGTTGACATAAAAATATACACTTTCGGTTTCTTTACTCAATGTCCATATCGTTTCTCAATGTGTGAAACTACTGAAAAACGTTTTTTTCTCAACTGACCACTCCTAGATGAGTCTGTCATCATAGATCTTCAATCATGCAGAAGCCTCTAATAATCGTTGCTTCCATAATATAATTGGCAGACAATTAGCTGAAGAAAATCGGAATCTGTTACGGCATAGGCTCCTGATAAAGTACATCCAGAGAAAGCATTTTGAAAAGAATAAACTAGAATAGACATTGGCGACTTGGACAAGTATTGTCTCAAATGTGGCCGAGTGAAATCGGTAAACAGACTTTCATCAAATTGCTTCATTTTTAGTAATATCCTCCGAACAGAAGTATATAACGGGTGCACCATAACTAGTGTTTCTCTCACTACTCTGTTACAGGTTTGTTGCATCTTTATTGTATAGACTTCAATTCTTTCCGAAAGATGCGTCATTCAATTTTGAACAAAATGTTTTCAAAAGATTTGCTGAAGAAATTTCCAATGCTAGATTAATAACTGAATACTAAATACGCATCAAAGGATCAACTTTCGAAGCTGAAAAAAAATATTTTTTACGAATCTTTTCTTGACCAGTAACATTAAGAATAAGGTAAGAGATCCGATTATTTTCATCAGATTTTAGTCATATTAATTAGAATTATGGAGAATCCAATTTTTCGATGTTCAATTCAATTTGAACGAATTTGCAGCTGAATAGCGAGAAAGAGAGCACTCAATAGAAGATTTTAAATCGTTTATACTTATTTTTCTGTTTGCTGTAGTGTAAAAACTATTCTCTAGTTTATCATAGAGATCAGTTTGAAACTCAGCCCTTTTGTGCATGTTAAGTATTAACTTATACTTTCGAAAGACTCAAGTTCACCCAGTGAGAATTGATTGTGATGCTAAATGATTACTGAGATGAACATTTATTGTAGCGCACCCTCTATACTTCATTTATTGTTGACTTTTGACTCAGAAGAATCATATTTCGATCTTGACTAATAATATAAGTTTTTCTCAATTCTGTTTAGACTTTTGAATCTCTACTATTGCGAGCGCTGAGGGTGCCACAGTTCGGCTTTTGCAAAGCGTCGTTTTATGACTTGTTCTTACTTCATCAGTAGAGGCTGATTTATTTATAGTATTAGCGCTATTTTATGCTCCTTTTGAAAGTAACTTGTTTTCGCTGTCGAAGGGATTAGAAACAGTATTTTTTCTACCAAAATGAAACGAGTTACTTTTAAAAGTAACGTTATTTTATCACCCCTAGCTAGTAGAAAAAATATTTGATAAGCCTCAAGTGACCTGTCCATGCCAATGCTTTCCACCGATTGTCTCGACAGATGTACGCAATTCGATCTTGATCGTGGTTTTCAACAAATCTCATTTTGATAAAGTCTTTTGGATAGATGAATGTTTGAAGACGAACAAGTTCGAGATAGGATTTGACCGGAATGACTCCTTCCACCGTAGCACGCCATGCCACATACAGATCATAGTCATAGCACACATCAAATGTTTCATAGAGTTCTGCATCCGTATGGACTAATCCGTTTTGATCACGATAAGTTTTCATAGCGCTAAACCAACTTGATTCTGCCAACCAGATACAACGAGGATTTACTTCAGCCACAGAATGTTTAGCTTGCCGCCTGAACAACGACAAATATATTCGCAAGAACAAACACTAAGTATACTCATCACCAGAATTCCATGGGAACACAAGAAGCAACATCCATGCGAAATCCATCGACACCATACTCGCACCAAAACTTTAGTATATCAATTAGTTCAGGCCACAATGCCGTTTCGTTTCCTTCGAATTTCAAATCCAAAATATCTGTCCACTGGGGCATTAAAGAAATAGGATTGTCCTATGAAGAGAACATTTTAGCATTGAACGAGATATATAAACAAAATTCAGACCTTTTCATCTCTCATGTACCATTCTGGATGTTCTTTTACCCATGAACAGTCATGACTAGTGTGTGGATAGACAATGTCAATCATGAGTCTCATACCTAGTCGGTGAATTTCTGAGACTAAACGATGAAAATCATCCATTCTACCATATTCTGGATTGATGGCACGAAAATCTTTTATCGAATACGGTGAACCAAGTGAACCTTTGCGATTAGATATACCAATCGGATGAATGGGTAAAAGCCATATAATATCAATGCCCATTCGAACAATTCTAGACAAAGAAAATGTTCCGCTGGAGAACGAAATCAAAATAGATGCGAACAAACCGTGGCAGATCGTCGATGACTCCTTGAAATGTGCCACTTTCTGAATGATTTCGCACATAGACACAGTAGATAGCCGAATTTTGAATGCCTTCGTTGACCATGACTATGGAGTGCACGCACATTAGAAAAAAAGGTACGAGGAAGACAATTTTATGAGTAAATTCTATTGAATTTTCGATTATAATGGACGAATATGCTACGATGATAGAGATTGGATGTGGTTCCTATGCTGTAATTACCATAGCCTACGAATTATAAACTTGTGCCTATACCTATACTTGTACACTTCTATACTGAGAATGAAGGTGCTTGTATTGTAAATTAATAAGATCAACCAAATTCCAATCAGAATAATGCTCTCATTGTGAAATTTACTTTAGAACATGAGCTACCTTTTGCATGCCACGCTGAGATATTCGAATTTCAACGTATTTAAAATATAGCTATATATACTAGAGAATCACTTACATTGAGTGTTTTAGTATAGTGGACTGAATTTTTAGATTGTCAGTATTCAAGATTTTATTAAAGCTTTCTACAAGATATGAACCATTCTTCATAGTTTTAATGTCTTGTCAAAGTTTGGCATTATATTAGCGGAAATTTATGAGCTTCGTACTTGACAAATTGCACACACGCGAAAGATTTTCACCGTTGAAATGCACTAATGTGTCACTTCTTGATCAAGCTACAGATTAATTCTGATACAAAATCGAATCACTTTTCTGACAGAGTCAAAACTGGTTTAAACTAGGTTAAAATGGTACTTCGATAATCAAGAGAGTCATCTATTCATTTTTGGTAAAGGAATGCACATCACACTAACAAAAATGGCTATAGACCGACACAAACACTTTATTAACATCTAGTACAAAATCTGCAGCTGGTGGTTCACTCCACTTTTTGAAAGCATACTAAATCTGAGTCCTGACAAATCAGAACAAGCAGAGAAATAGTTGTTTAGATTAGGAAACTAAAAGCATATTTTATTATAATCTTATGACTAGTGTTGCACCATCATTGAACATGAAGAAACATTTATAGTTTGTGTTTAATGCAACAACATCTTTATTGCTCATACCTGATCTAATGGCTCGATCTATGTGCATGGTGAATTACAGAAATATCATAGTACTCCTTGTATCACTTTCGGGAGACCAGAGTTTCGGCCCACGGAATTTTCGGGCCGGGCCGAAAGTCCTACAGCAATTTCGGCTCATCCTTAGAATGACCTCATTGACCCCTAAAGAAAAATTTAATTTTTTAAATTAATTGCTAGATATCGTAGTGCTGAGCAGGACAACCTGGTGCTGAGCAGGACGGCGTTGCGCTCAGCGACATGGCGCAGTGTTGAGCAGAATGTCATGGGTGTGGGTGTAAGCTTGTGGGCTGCCAGTGTGGGCGTAGGCGTATGTGGTATGTTCGTATCCTTTTTGCGTTGACCGGCGTCCACAGCTATGCCCCCGCCCATGTCGTCCTGCTCAGCACTAAGTCGTCCAGCTCAGCACTACGTCGTCCCGCTCAGCGCTATGCCGTCCTGCCCAGCAGCACGTCGTCCTGCTCAGCACTACGATATCTAGCAATTAATTAAAAAAATTAAATTTTTTTTTAGGGATCAATGAGGTCATTCTAAGGATGGGCCGAAATTGCTGTAGGACTTTCGGCCCGGCCAGAAAATTCACCGGAATTTCGGATCGGGTCGAAAGTCCGGGCCGAAAATTCCGTGAGCCGAAATTCATGCAACCCTCACTTTCAGTTCAAATAAAATGTAAAATTTGATAATTGACAGTTAAATGACAAGATTGCCATCAATTTCCACTAATATAATACCGAACCTTGACAAGACATCGAAACTACTAAGAGTAGCATCAATATTGTAGGAAATTTAAGCAAAATCTTGAATACTGGTTATCTGAAAACTCTGCCTACTATATTAAAAAAACTCAATGTGAATAATTCTGTAGTACGTATACCTATGTTTGAAACACCTTAAAATTCGGATATCTGAATCGTGGCAGGCCAAGAGCAGCACACGTTCCAAATTTGTAAATTTCACACTGGACGTATTATTCTGACTGGAGTATGTGTTCGATCTTATTAACTCATAATACAAGCATCTGTATTCTTTTTTGAATGATTATAATCAAATTAGTTGATTTCAGACAAGAGAAGAGCCACTAAGTGTCGATGAAAATGAATTGTCTCGAAAATTGATTGCAACTGATTAAGAAAAAATCACGTAGGTGAAGTTAGCCTCATATTCGAGTAAATCCAGCCGATATTCGGCCCCAAAGCTGCCCCAGCTGTCCCAGGCAACACCAAAATAGAACTCGATGAGCTCTATCGATTGGTAACGTTGGATTTTCGATAGGCCAAACCATTCGTGAAAAAATCCCAAAATACTAATTATTTCCTATGGAAATCTTACCATAGGGTTAGTAAATCCAGCCGATATTCGACCCCAAAACTGCCCCAGCTGCCCCAGACAGCGCCAAAATAGAACTCAGTGAGCTCTATCGATTGGTAACGTTGGATTTTCGATAGCTCAAAACATTCGTGAAAAAAACCCAAAATACTATTTTATTACCGTATGACTCCTATCACATGGTTACTACAAACAGTGGATATTCTTGTAGGAAGTTCTTCTAGCTCTTTCAATACGTTCCCAAATGTAACTTGACTGGGCCCTATCAATTGGTAATCTTGGTGTTGTCATAACTCAAAGCATGTGTAAGTAGAAAGAAAATGTTGGCTTTTGTCTATTGCATCTTTTGAGCTTTTCCGGTAAAAGTTGACATGTTTGCTCTGGAAATGTATTCTAAAGTTTGAGGGTGTGGGTGTTTGTGTGGGATGTGAATGTGGGTGCATGTGTGATATCTCTTGATCTACGCCCATAGCTACAGCCAAACCCACATCCACAGCCACACCCCACAGCCTTACAATCTTATGCAATGAATGGGCATCAAAATTAGTGGAAGTCATTATGACTCTACGAAAAAACGTTTAACAGTACTTATCATTAGACTCACATAATGAATCTATCAACGTTCTATGGGAAGAATAATTTATCCCAGAAATAATCCATTTGAACCAGCAAAACATTCACACTCGTCATACTCCATCCATTCACATCCTGCGGGTTTCCTTGTCAACCAGCTTACAGTCACATCCTCAGAGGCTAAACTCACCTAAGCGCCCACATTTGTACCGCCATCTACGCGATCACCCACGGCACATCCAGATATCCCTAGAATGAAGAAGTCTAATCGTTGCTTATCTGTGACAGCTGCTCAGCTATCTATTCGTAGGTAAAATTTGGACGAATGCAACAAACAGAGTTCAGTATATTCCGTACAAAAATGCTGTAGTTTTTCCAGATCTAACCCTGGCGAAATCGAATTCTGTAGTAAAGAGAGCAGCAAAAAGTTTGTTTGAAATGAAATGTTGCTCGTCAACTTGGCTTCATTCATTACAAATAGCAGGCAACTGAATTTTCTTTTCTTCAGTCATCTCTCTTTACTCTTTTTTTCGATCATATGTTATTAATGTAATAAAAAACAGCTTTAAGTTGGGTATTCTTTTCCAAGAAAAGAAAAAGAAGTGAAAAAACAACGGAGTCGAGTTTGAGGGCAGCTCTCCTTATTGGGAATGAACTTATTCAATCATTCTTTAGGTTTTATTATTTTGTTGGTAACACTGTTTCGAAGACGATGATCGACAAACGTGAGCAATTTTCAAAGCATGATGCACATTTTTATTTATTTGAATATCTTGAAACAGTTTTTAAAAGCACTAAAGAATAAAATGATACATACCAGGCACGCACCCAGAAATTTTCTGAAGGAAGAAGAGCCCAAACTTATGAGGGGGCCCCCATGAAAAAATTAAAAAATTCACCAGGGAAAAATGTCTACCTGTTCCTCCCTACAGGCGTTTTCAGTCCTAGGGAGGGACCCGATTCGCATGCTCCTCCTTCGGTGCGTGTCTGATACATACCGCAGTCGAGTCCATCAGTGCAAGTCTGATACAAGCTTTCCAGCCAAATCTATATGTCCTAATGAATGAAATTCAAGTAAATAAGGGTAAATCTATAAGAGTTGTACGGAGAATATGCGGTTATGCATTCCACTAATAATGTATTGAGAGGATATTCAAGACACTACCGATATCTTCAGATTTTACATTAAAAATGATCCCATGAACTCGTTCTACAGAGAATCCAATGTGTGGTTCAATGATAATGATAAGGGTGCGGGTATATAAGTGCGGATCTGGGATGTGGGAGTTCTTTTTGTACCTGACACAGTTTCACAAGAACCCACACTCACATCCACAACCATACCCACACCCACACCCTTTTTTATGTTGGCCATATATAGAACCCATTGGCTACAAAACTATTAGACCAGGACGAATCGTACTTTGATACTCTCATTGAAATTTCCTAGTCGAAATTGACTAGTCACCCGAAGATACAAAATGGTTTTTTTCCGGTTTTTTGTGTTGAACGACTAGTGCACCCTGCACATTTCTTCGACGACTAAGGTTCATCCAAAAATTTACTAATTCGACAGCAATCCGAAGAGGTCTTATCACATAAAGGCTGTTGCAAATCGATACATCATTATCCATCATCCTTGACATTTCAAATATCAATTTTCATCTCATTATTTAGCACATTTGCAAACGTATTACAGCCATTCGAATTTCGAGGAAGACTTTAGAATGTTTTAAAACTGTCTAACTCTTATTGCTAATGTTTACTCTATTTGACAAATTAAAAATGAAAAAATTATAATTGTCCTATTATTTCATTTTTTATTATCAATAAAAAAATTTGTATAGAAAATCTAAACAATTTTTTAAGTCTCTTTCATTGTATCAAGTATAGACGCAATATTAGCAACAAAATCAGGAAATGTTTCATCACATAAATATTTTTCTAAAAATTCATTGGTTTGATTACAATCGAAAGTGAGTTCTTGATTATAATATGTAGATAATTGTATTGTACTATCACCCATTAATGATTTTATCATATCAGAAATTGATACAATTGAATTTAGCTTTCCAATAGACTTTGTCATTGATGACAAAGATACTGAATCAAAATGTGTAATATTAATTGAACGTGAAAGTAATCTTACACAATCTTCACAATGTTGACGACCATTTTGACTTTCAGTTGAAGCAAATTTAATTAAAAATTTACGTTGAATATTATCATTTCGAACACAATAACTCATTAAAAGACTATCACCAGTATAAGTTGCAAATATTGAAGATGGATCTGAAGATAATACATCAACACATTCAATTTTTTCTGTTTCATCACGAATAACATATAACTGTTGAGTTGCAGTTAAATTTAAACTAAGAAATCCTTCTGAACAATCAATTGTTTGACATTGTGGTCTGTAGAGGAATTAAAAAAGTGGTATATTTTATAAATCTAATCAAAAACAAATACAAACTGTTGTCGTTCATTTGATGATGTTGAATTTTGACTTGATAATGGAGAATTAGGATTAATTTCAACAGCATAACGTAATAATGTCCAAGTTTTAGTTGACGAATATTGAAAGGTCATCTAAAATATAAATCAGATTTAATTAATATATTGCTTGCATAAACAAAAAAGCAGATATATATTATACGCGTCCAGAAATATTTATTGAAATATTCATCAATATTGATATCTGTAATATGGAAACAATTTTCAGATTAATGCTAATGGAAGGTAATCACATCTATTTTTAACATAAATATGAACTTCTGTACAATAAAATATTAAATTATAAAAGCAAACAAAAGAGATTATTTTTTTCGTTACAAAATAATTCTCGAATCTTATTAAATGCATTTCAATTCAAATAGAACTCAATCTTTGAATTGTTTTTTCATTGTTCAAATAGTTTCATGTACAATATTCGTACAAATTTGAATTCACTATATATAATACAAAATAATTTCAACTTTGTTCTTGCACGAATGATTATATGTACCTTTTTTCTCTCTCAAGTAATCTGAATCCTTGAAGAATTATAAAATAAAATGATATTTAAAAAAATATGTTTCATAGTTGTTCCAGAGATAAAATATATTCTGGTTCAAATAATTTTCCAACACATTTCTGTAATAAGAATCTTCTTTGTCTTGAAAAAAAAATCCAACATACAAATTAAACATATTCTTCAGGAATCCAACAAAACCACGTATAAAATATCTTTAGTGTTTTATTATAAGATACGATTTACAATGAAAAAATATTTATTCTTTAGTTTTTATGTATATTTTTTCAAATTTTATATATATAGGTTAAAAAAATATGACTAGTGACAAAGTCGTCTAAATTATGGTTATAATATAAATAAAAAAAAAAAAAAAAAAGAAAAAAGTTTTGAATGGTTGCATTATTTAGGTTACACAACATACAAGCGGTACATAACAGAAAAAGAAAGGCTCTTATTATGCATTCTATATTTTACATTTGTTATAGGTAAAAAAAAGAAAAGGTTCTTGATCTGACTATAATATAAATATACACATAGATATATTTATTTATTTTAAAAAATAAATTATAATCTCAATGGGGTCGTGATCTTGCATTATGTTCAATTGATAGTTGATTTTCAAATTTGCCTGGTTTATGTTTAAAAAAATCTCTTATATGTTGTATAATAAGATCAACAGCAACATGATTATCAGCACCACGTGGTATAATAACATCAGCATATTTTTTAGTTGGTAAACAAAAATCTTCAAATGATGGTTTAACATAATTTGTATAACCAGCTAAAATATGTTCTAAATTTCTTCCATGCTGCTTCATATCACGTAAAACACGACGTGCTAAACGTGTATCAGCATCTGTATCGACAAATAATTTCATTTGAAATAAATTCTAACGAAAAAAGAAACTAAAAATAAAATATTATTGAACAAAAAATTGAATACTCGAATTTCAGGATAATAGAAAACAAGAATTCCTTCAATTATAATAACTGGTACAGGTTCAATTATATCAAATACTCCCTCAATATGTTCATATTTACCAGGATCATAACGAGCAATCTAAATATAAAATTCATTAAAAGATAAATTTATTTTCTGTTTGTTGTTGTCGTTGTTACTTTAACAGTTCGACCATTAAGTAAATCTTGTAAAGTGTTAAAAAGAAGTTTTTCATCAAATGCACTTGGATGATCAAGATTATAATTTCCACGTAAAGCCATTTCACGTTGTTCAACTGTTTTAGGTTTATAAAAATGTTCCATTGCTATTATAGTAACACGATTTGTTTGATCAATGTCACCCTTTGGTTGTAATGCTTCCACTATTTTTTGACATACTGTTGATTTACCTATATGAATAATTCGAATTAATTTTAAATTATTGTAAATATTTACCAGAACATGGTCCACCTGAAACGCCAATAAGAAAGGGTCTTATTGATGATACAGGCATTAAAAATCGAAAATTTGGAATGAAATTTGAGATTATCTAAAATAACAAATGATTTAAATCTATGATTCATATAGAATAACTATTCAAACAATGAATTGGGAGATTTGCCTTTCTATTGGTTTAATTACTTTTGAATTGTTTTGTTCAATATGTCAAATATTTATCACGAATTTCCGAGCAATCAAAAAAATAAAACTATTAAAAAAGTAAAGAAGATCGAAATATTTTATATAGTATTTGTAAATAGGTTTTCATGACTGAATAACTTGGCATAAGAAGCGTCAATTTTGGATAGAGGAATTAGAGATATCATTTCTAAGAAGGTTTTTATGCTATTTTGAAGTATAGTCATTGATAGACGACGGCTGAAATTGTTCGATGAATTTTTTCCGAAAATTTTCTTAATTTCGAAATGAAAACGATGGCAGACAACTTATTAACAACAAACTAGACAGTAACATATCCAAAAACAATCGTTTGATATGTCAGAAATTTTCCAATAATGAGGGATACGTAAATGTATCCATTCTTATACTCAAATATCACTTACGAAAACAATAATATTAGACTTCTTTTTATAATAGCCAATAACGATGGGAATGTGTTATTTTATTCACTAATATTGATCATTGATAAATCATTACATAGGAAAAAAACTAAACTTAAACCTTAATGACGCATTCACATTATTTACTCATCATTATACAGGATTGGAAAAAAACAACATTGTGTGCTTTAAATACAGATAGAAAAAGGAAATATCCCTTTGAAAGTAATCTACTTTTATTGATCAAACGTGCATTTATGATTAATAGTATTAGGTATTTATATTTAGAAAATATCAAAATAGAGTTTTCTCCAATATCATCAAGTATTGTTGTTATCTACTATGACATAAGATGTTTATTTTATTTTAAACAACGTTGTTCAAACATGCAATTCTCCAAATTAATTTATCTTAATGACTCTCGCCATAAGAATCTCTCAGATTTTTCTCAAATGTTCTATTTTCAGTTTATTTTTCATTGGTAATGTCATGCATTTTAATAATTATCCTCTGAAAATAATAATCATCAATATACGCATTATAACAACATTTTAAAGGCCAACCTTCCATTACATACATCTGCTACCAAAACTTTACACAACCAGGGTCCAAAAAACTGTTGTTGTTTTTCGGGTAATGGCAGTTCCAGATATAAAAAACTTTTGCTCTGCTATTCAAATGCTTCTCTCAAAATAGAACAAAGTTTTTCGCATAGATCAGTTACGAAAACTAATCTGTTGGACTAGTTCTTTCACTCATTTGATCTGAAATGTGAACTGATCGACCCCTATGTATCAGTCTACAAAATTCCTTTTAGTCTTCAAAAGAACTCTTCTAAAACTTGAATAACAAAAAAAAACAAACGATTTCATCGTTGAAAATTTTTAACTCATAAAACCTTATATCAAACAAACTACATCGATTACGAATACTTTTCATTTAAGCCGCCCTATTAAGTATCAATACACAACACACACAATAACAACTATCGTTAACATTCGTTTAAACTAAATGAATAACTCTATTCAATCACATACGCCATTACTCACAACAACAACAACAACAAAAAAAAACTCTTTCTTTGATGCGAAATCTACAAAAGAAAAAAAAAACAGGAATGCATTTTATTACGTGAATAGATATATATTTTAATATCATATTGAGTTTGACTGAGACATAAAAAAGGAATGAGACAAATAAAGGAACAAAAAGAAAACAAGCAAACAAAGATGACAGAATTTTGATCATTTAAAAAGATAAGATAAATATATCATTTAGAGAAACATTAAACAAACGACTAGTTGCTACCAAGAATAAGTTCATATGCATGAACAACTAAAGTTGCTACATCTGGAACTTTTGTTTTAAGTGAAAACTAAACAGAAAATAAAAATGTTTATTTTATAAAACAATGAAAAAAAAATTTTTTTACCGCTATCGTTCGATTTCCTGGTGTAATTTTCAATTCAGCAAGTATAACTATTCCATTAGTTAATTTAATTGTTTGATAAAGCATTTCTTTTTGTTCAATAATTGTTCTTGTTACTGTATGAATATTATTTAAATGTAATTTATTTTGTAAATCTTCAATTGATAATCCATTAACATTTTGTAATTGATGTTTTATTTCATTACTTTCAGGTATTTCTTGCCATGTTTGAACAAATGCCATTTTATCCATTTCATTATCTTGAGTAAAATAAACATGTATTGGTACAATACATGCAAAATAAAAAACATCAACATTATTTTTAATAGCAATTTGAAGATTTGTTAATGGATCCATTTTCATAATTGGTCCATTTGAATTTAATATTAATTGTGTTGAAACACTTTGGCTTGGAAATAATGGACTTGTTACTTGTAATGGTTGAGCAGGTGTTAAACCAAAACTATTACGATTAAGTTGTAATGCAAAATCACTCATTGATTGTAATGCTTTATTTGTAAAATCCATTTCCATTACAATTTGATTGTTACGACGAGCAAATGTGCCGGATACTTCAAGACCTTTACCTTTTTGAGCACTTAACCAAATCTAATAATATAAGAAAGTTTATATAATAAAAAGACTAGTGTTATTCTAAAGAGAAAGATTTCTGTTGCGTATGAAGAATCTGAAAAATCAAATCTATCGATTGCTGCTATTGAACAAAGTCTCGTCGAGATAGAAGATTTTTAAGATATAGACCGTTTTTCATGAATAATGTATAGAACATGCATATTTCGAAAGCTTTATATCTCAAAGAAACTTCGTTCAAAACTTCTGAATTTTTTTTATTAACATTATTCTAGTTAAGTTCTCTATATGTGGAAATTTTCAGATCAAAACTCGAAAATACAAATTTTTCGAAAATCAGGAGCCACTAGAATATAGATGTGTTAAAAATTTTAAAGAAGACATCTGAAAAGATTTTCTCGCTAGTTAGAATCATGAGCAATCAAAAACTAGTCAGAAAAGTATAGCATTAGTGTTTAGACCTCTACTCTATTCTCATCCATCCTTTCACTCTCATCTTCATCTTAGTTTCCGCTCTGACACTTCCTTTGATCTCATCTTCACCATCAGTTGTGTTACCTGATGAGTGATAAGTTTTTTTTAGAATAAAAATGACTATATGATTTCGTGCTCTCGTAAACTTTGAAAGTATAAGTGTCATTAGTTTTTACTTCTGTTACATAGATTATACAGACATTACTAACAAGAGTACTCTGCATGAACAAAAGCATTCGTTCCCAATGTTGATTTAAAAACAGTAAATAATTCATTTTTAGACAACTCTTACATCTATAAAATTTCTATTCAACGTTTTTTTTTTAGTATGCCTGGATTTTTCAAAAAAACTCGACCTACTTTTGGTTAGCGACGTGATCGAATACAAAAAAATACTCTTACAATCGAATGCGAAGTTTAAGACCAATTTCAAATGGTACTAATCTTTCTTCAGATAAAATTTCATAAAAAAAGAATTTGTTTCCTTACTTCTTTAGGTAAAGCAAAAGTATTTGTATTGGAATATAAAAGTCCCGAACCAGTTCCACCTAAATTTAAATCACCAAACAAATCATCAAGTAAATTTCCACCTTTCGTTGTTTGAGTCATTGGAAGTGAAGTTGTTGTTGGTGCTGCTGCTGCTGCTAAATTCATTATTGGTATTTGAGATTGAGGTGTTTGAGCCCCACCAATATTTGTATCCGTTGCAAGAATTGATGAAAGTTCATCATCAAGTAGATTCGGTACAGTTGATGGTGCTCTTGGCTGTGTTTGTCCACCAATATTTGTTGTTGGATGTGATGTATTTGGCATTGGTCCTAATATATCAAAATCATCAATTAATGAACCAACATTTGCACTAATAACAACTTGTTGTTGTTGATGATTTGTTGACATAATATCTTGACCAGTTGTGTCATCATCGTCACCACCAGCACCATCAATACCTGAACGTAATGGAAGATTTTTTTTTAATGTATGTCGACCTTCAACAAATGCATTTGGTGGTTTATGATAAACAGATGCTAATGTTCCTATATGACAAATAAGTTCATCAAGAAGTGTTGGTTCAAGTAAATCAGTTTCTTCTGATATAAGTGGTTTTTCAGCTAGAACAACTTCTTTAGCTGCTTTTGGATCTGTGGATAAAAGACGCCAATAAATATAACCACGATCACGTAAATCAGGATTATCGGTTTCCTTTGTAAGACAAAAAAATAAAATAAAATATTTATTTCACAATAAAAAAAATAAAGCATACTTGTGTAACAAGTGTTAAAACACGTGTAACTAATTCTTGTGGTGTTTCAGTTGGTTTTTTAAGAAATAATTTAACAATAGCTGTTAATAATTGTAATTGTACTTGACTATTTTCATCTTTAAAACCATCAAGAAAACCCTCGAGTAATTCATCAGCATTATCAATACGTTCAGCATATTCACCAATAATCCAAATCATTGATGCACTAAAAAATATATATTTCAATAGAAAAAAAACAAAATAGAATTTCTTTTGAATTTTACCGAGCTTCAGGTTCATCAAGTGAATCAAGATTTTCACATAATGTTGCTATGATACTTTCATATTTATTTGGATATTTTCGAAAAATATCCTAAGTAGAATTATTATTTGAATTTTATTTTAAAATCTTCTTTTTTTTTTTTGTCTTACTTTAATAACAACAATAGCTTCTTGTACAACATAATTAACTTTTGTTTGTATGAGATCAATTAATGTACTAACACATCTTTCAGCTGCTTGTTCAACTTTAATTGCACATCGACCAATAGCACGTACAGATTTACGAACAAAATCTACATCAACTTCAGTTGCATATCTAAATAAAAATTTATGTAAAAAAAACAGTTCGATCAATTATTAATGAAAATAATTTTCATAATGAAACTAATTATTAATTATTTACTCTTTTAATTCAGCTAAAACTTGTGCAATATTTGTTGCATTAGTTAAACGTATCATTATATCAAGTTTTTCAAGTTTAACATAAATTGGATCATTATATTTAACAAAGAAAACTTTCATTTCATTTTTTAATATATCCGGACTACAAAGAAAAAGAACACAATATTTCCGAAAAGGAAATTAATTTTATAATTAAATTAATATCTATTACCGTTTTTGTACAATTAAATTAATATTACGTAATGCAACATATTGAATTTCAGGTTCAGCTGATAAAAGTGTCACTAATGGTGGTGCTAATTTACGATGTAAATTTTGTACAAATTCACTATGTTGATCGATTAATTCAAGAAATTTCATTAAAACCTATTTCAATTAATGAATATTAGAAGAAAAGAAAAACAACAGAACAATCAATGTGAAAAAATTACTTTAACAGCCGATAGAACAACAGCAGCATTTGCATGAGCTAGACGTGGTGTTATACGTTCACAAATACTTTGTGCTTCTTTATCATCCTAAGTAATGATAATTATATAAAGAAAATTAATTATTCAGTTAATTAGATGAATCAATATTTTTCTTTAATATTTTAAACTAATATTTTGGTCCCTTGAAATTTCTTATGATTATGTTATTGATCAAGAGTAATAGAAAGAAAAAAAAAGGTTTCTTAAGTTACATTTCTATTTCGATTTGCAATTAATAAGGAAAAATGATTGATTACACCTTTAGCCTTATTCTTTTTATCTCACATCGAAATAAATATCAAGTTTCTCAAACTTTAGTTAACTCTTTCGCCTTAGTTGAGTCATCATCGACTCATTCATAGAAACTATCTATTTAGAATAATTAAGCATCGGATTGAGATACTTCTTGAATATTCTCTAGAATTTTCAATAGAATTACGAATTTGTTAAAAAATTAAACCTCTTCTCATCATTCCTCGGTTAAGTTCTCATGAGTAAGAAAACGATTTTTTTTTCCAAAACTCGATTCTTTTGATATGTGTCAGATTGATGTATACTATGATATAGTTTTTTAAAAATATTCTAAGATAAAAATCAAGACACGATTCAGGAAATGAAACAGCAGATCTCGATCCGAAAGTAACCACCTTTGCGTGAATGTCTAATCATATATCATCTTTCGGAAATGATTCATTTTTCAAGAAAAAAATAATAATTAATAATGACCAGGTTGTTAGTGTTATATAAATAAAATAACAACACAACCAAGCAATGATAATCAAATTAATAATAATAAATTCAATTTTCATGTTATTCAAGACGAATGGATCATTTATGTTCCATTCTTCATCTCCATAGTGAATAGACATCTTCCAAATTCAACAATATCAATATCCTAATCAATATCTACATAATCTATCTCAACATCAATTCTATCAGATTAATACATAAACATTATAACTAACAACAATTATTTCATTGATTAAATTTTGTCTATTGATTAAAACAAACCTTCGGTGAATAATTAGCAATAGCATCAAGTATAAAAACTTGTCCCCATTCAGTACATTCATTAAGTGCTGTTAAAAGTTTATTAATAGTTGGTCCATTTAAATCGAAAACTTTTGCATGTGGTGATTGTTCAGCTATTTCACTTAATGCTGCAACAGCATTTGCAACAACCTATATTATTGTAATCATAAATTATATTGTTTATGAAATATTTTTAGCACAAAAAAAAAACCTAACCATAGGATTTGAATCTGATAATAAATCTCTTAACATATCAAGAAAACCTTGATCATCAACAAGTTGTTGATTAATATCATATAATTTTGCTACACAAACAGCAGCTGTTTTTCGAACATATGGATCTTCATCTTTTAAGCATTTACGTAATGGTTCACATAAATGTTCAGTTATTTTATCTACACGTATGCAACCCATTGTACGTACAGCTAATGCACGAATTAATGGATTTGGATCATTACAATCCTAATTAAAAAATAAATAAATGAATTTTTTCAAAAAATTTTTATTAATACTTTTGCGAAAGTATTAACAGCTAAAATAGCCATTTCTGGTTGTGTTTTAGCATAATTCATTAAATAGAGATAAACAAGTTTTTTTAATTCAAGATTATCTGTTTGCATACAGTTGACAACATCAGGAAAGAGTTGACTGTAAAAAAACAAAGATTAAAAAAAAAAATTAGCGATTAATTAATTTACCTGACGTCTTTTCCAACTGTCATACTTGCAATAACCTGAGGTATAATAAAAATATTAATAAGCAAAGAATGTTTTGTTTATATGAAGAATTACCTTTTTTACAGCTTCCTTTTTACGATCACGTTTATCACTATTTAATTCAGCTTTAAGTTCATAAATTTCACCTTAAAATAGATTTTATGTAATTTGTTTTTATTCTTTAATAAAAAATTAATTTTTAAATAAATACCTTTCTTAGCTTCAGCTTCATACATAGCAGCCATGTTTTCTTTTTAATTTTTATCTTTTAATCAAAAAATGGGAACGTCAACTATAGGATACAATATTTTCGAGTGAATGAGATGATAGAAAGAATCGAAAAAAGAAAAAAAAAATGCACGCCTCTGTTTAAAGACAACAAGACGAGAACAACTGAAGTATGTGTTGTTTCACAAGGAGGCAAACTACAAAACGATGATGATTATGTTATAAGAATAAAAAAAAAAAAAAGCTTGTCGTCGACGTCGTCACCTCATGTAAAAGAAAGAAAGAAAAAAAGAAATGTCCTATACTACTCTTTTTCTTCATGATTATATTCCAAAAAGAAAGAAAAAAAAAACTATATATATATATATATGTAAATATATGACAATCGAGATTTTACTCTTTTTCTGACCAATACACAAGAGAACGATTGAAAAGAAAATGAAAAAGAACGAAAGAAAGAAATAGGGCAAAGGTGGTCATTTATATATTTGCATACATGCTACCTGTAGCTTTTTTTTTCTCTTTTACTTGTTCTTTTCTTTACCTCTATATATACACATGTGCACGAGTCACATTAGAACAGATTGGTTTTATTTATTCAATCTGCTCTATGTCGAATGAGTAACAATAGAATCGAATAAAACGATGGATGACTCAAAATAACATTGAAATTGAACATGAAAATGTTAGTTTACCTTTTCGTGTTGTTGAGAAATATTTTGAATCAGTCATTGTTCGTTGAAGAATACCGTTATTTCAAACAAGATCTATAAATAAAAAACAAATTTTCTTATATACATGTTCGTTTTTTTTAATCAAAAGTCAATTGATAAAACATGAGTAGAAAACCATTTATTGCAAAAAATTGATTAACAATAAACAACAAAAGCAACAAAACAAATAACAAGATTTCTTCTACTCATTGGTTTATTATTTAAGCCTTGAACTACTAGATAAGAGGTCGCTAGATGTTGAACTATTGATATCCAGTCTTTCTGTCGATGATTTCATATAGTGTTAAGTCATACTTCAAGTGTTTATTTTTGATAAAAATATCAACAGCAAGTTTTTAAAGTGCATTAACAATGTCAAAAATTATATTTAACCATAGGCTGTCGAACTTTTTGATTCTACGATAGGCTGATTATTTTAGAAGATCTTCATTTGGAAGGTAAAAATGAGAGAAGACGAGTTTTTGAAAGCTATTTAAATGAAGAAAACATGAGAATGTTTATTTTCATAGAAATTCGAGCTTCAAAAGAAGAAATTCTGATCTGTTGCTTTATTGAAAAAGAAATTAATGGCGAAACGGAAATGTTTCACAAAAATCAGATGGTAGATTATGAGCTTCTTTACTGTTGAAAATATTTTTAATCGGTATGTAACTTTAGTCGCCGAAGATGAAAAGGAATTTTTGGCGAATTTTAGTTAATCTAATTCAGATTTTTTGTACGGTTCGTTTTCACTAGTAATGGAAGCAGAGAAGTGTTTGAACTTACAAAGCGTGAATCTGAGATAGGCTTTTGCTTTCTCAAGGTTTTTTGGTTCTGTCGCCTATGCTTATTGAACATGAATCGACAGTCGATAAAATGTTAACTGTCTTTGTAGCAATGCGTCACTTATCAGAAGAAAATGAAAGTGAAACTGTAATAGACAATAATTACATTAAATAGAACTCATCTAAGCCCTTATTTATCGTGGCTTATCCTCCTCAGTCTTTACTCATAGAACTATAATTGCCAATTAATTGTTTTGAAAACTAATAAACCTTAATTATCAATAGTTTAACGAAAATGTCCTAAAACTAGGAGATTTCTTTTTGTTCGTGAAAGTAAATCTTTAATGTCTTATAGAATTTTCGAAATAAAGTATTTATTTGTTAACTAATAGAAATATTATAAAAATAATTTTTTAGAAGACGACATTTTAAATAATAATGAAAATCAATAAAGATAAACAGTATATCAAGACAGTGATGGATTTAGAGGTCACGAGGTACTGGAGGCGACCGCACATTCTTTTCGAAATATTTTTCGATACTTTCTCAAAAGCGCTAAGTTCGTCATTGTATCAATACAGTATTATTTTTTTCTCTGATAAACAGAATAGTCAAACATAAATCAGATGAAAGATTAAGGAAATGACGTGAATACTAAAAATACTCAAGTCAAATCTTACCGTCGATTTATGTTTGATTACTCTCATATATGTGCTATCAATTCTGCAGACAGATTAGCAGATACAACAATGTTTTCAATTAAATTGCAATTATTCAACTTACGAGAGAACGTTCTCAGATGACCTCGTTTCGATTTTAATCATCTTACTTTCTCGATAGACACCATATGGTGTTCTAGTAAAAAATTCTAAAAGAATTCGAAGTTCTACCGCTTCCTTCAAAAGTTATGCTCATATTTCTGAATTTTTCTCCTTTGGATTATAATTTTTGAAAGAAGCTGTATGAACTCGAATTCTTCTAAGATTTTTTTTTGTAGTAAGATACTCTGTTGAGGCTATAGGAGAAAAACAATTATTGAAATCAAAGGTAGGTTCTTTGTTAGTTTCCTTTTTTTTTCTTTTCTTATGAATGATATTTATTATATATGCTTTGTTCTATCATATAAAAAATATTTCATTAGTAAAAAAGATGTTTTCCGATTGATTAATTTTCGTCTTTTACATATAAATGACATATTCCATAGTAATCATCTTTTTTTAATCTTGATAAAAAAAAATATTCATCTCATAAGATTTTATATTGATAATCATGATTGTCAAAAATAGGCATATTTTTGTCTTTAGAATACTTGTTTTTTTTTGCATTATTTGTAAATTTAATATTCTTTAAATCTTATTTTTTGTACCGAAATTCGTCTGTTTACTGTATATTATTCATCAAGATATCTGTTTATACTTTAGAAAATATTACATGACAATAGCTAATGAGTATGTTCTACAAAAAGATGATTGTCTGTTCGATATTTACTAATGACATTTGATCATAGTCAAGTTAGATGATACTTGTTTACATCTGATTTCAATTATGGTTAGGATTACATTTTCTTCTTGAACTCAAACAGAGATCTTCGTTGTTATATATACTTATTTATACTTCTCAAATTATATTCTCATATAAGGATTATAAAAAACAGCCGAGAAAAAAGTCAATTGTTAATAAATGAAGCTATGCAACATAAGGCATCGTTGACGTCAAATGTGTACCCCTATATCAATTATTTATAGAAATTTTTTTTTTCTTCTTTTGATTTATGGCCCTTGCTACATGTCTCTGTGACATATGAATATGATATCTCTTTCGATGAATATATTCAATTAGGATTAGTTAATTGCAACAAATAATAATTGTTTATTTATGAAAGATGTCTTTTTTTCTTTTATTAAATAAAGACATTTACTTGATTAAAATAATGAAACTTTTAAAATACATATAGCAGTTTTATTTCGAATGAAGCCGTTTTAATTTAATATTTTATTTCGATATTTTAATAAGACAAAGCTTATACTTAATTGAGAAAACAAATAGTTATCTTTGTAATTGTTTGTATAGTGATTTAGAATCGTAAAAGAAAGTTTATTATATATCAAAATTTGAAAATATTAACTGTTATTACAACATTTTAATAGTTGCTTAAAATCTCATAAATGAATTAAATACAAACAAGTTTTGCTTTTGTTATTCTTGAGTAATGTTAATATGTAACAAGATTTGTTTATTTTTGAATGAGAATTATTTTTCTCTGCAATGTGTATAAACTAACAACGACAGATGTTAATAGATAACTAAAGCTTGAAGACCAATGAACATCTATCGCAATATGAAATACGTCAAAGCTGAATGGTTATTATTTATCGAATTAGTTATATAAAAGGCCTATTCATCCGAGAAATCTATATATATATATACGAGTTTTATAGAGAAGAAAAAAAGAAAGAAAAAGAAAATAGAAAAAGACAGCTTACTGAAAATAAGACCTGTTGTAGGTTTTTTTCTTTCATTTGATAGGAATAGAAATAGAAAATGGCTTGTATTTCTTGTTTAATAATGAATAAACAAACATAAACCGAGAGAAAATAGATGGAGGGTATGATTTTTCATTAATTCTAACGCACGACTACTGAGAATTATAATGATTTAAAGTCATTGACAAAGAAAGACCAGAGCCGAAAAAAAACAAGGTATATTAAAATTTTCTTTCATTTGTAATTTTCTTTTTTAAAAAATTAGTTTAGTTTTCTATAATGTCGACAATTTGATAAATGCATTTTCTTTTCTTTTAGATTTTCACTTCATATCAATGTTTGATGTTCGTTCATTTTTTTTTTTTATAAGTTTTCTATTTATAATCACGGAACGACCTATGCTAAAGAAGGTTTATTTTCGGAGGCATTATTCTTTTTTTTTTCTCTTTTATAAATGTCTAATTAGTTGCATAGTTCCTTAGAAAAACTGGTCTTCAATGCGTATGTAATAAAAAAGAAAAACGCTGTATAAATGAGTTGTGTTCGCTAAATTACTATTGAGAGTCATGCTCGTACATAAATAAATGCTTTTATAATGAGCACGAAAGAGAAAAAGAATGATAAAATAGATTGGTTGACAATAAAACGGTAGGGAGGTTCTATCGACATGTAAGTTTTATTTATTTATTTTTATTCTATAATATCAATATTAGATAAAAACATAATTATTTCTTTCAATCAAATGCTATTGTTTTATATGTGTCCTTTAAGAATGATTGATAATTTAGTTTCTTTTTTTAAATAGATATGTTTTATTTCGAACAACTGACATATAAGAGTATTATTATTTCAACACTCTGATAGAAGGTCTTACATACACATGTGTTAACGAGTCGATAGGAAAAAAAAGAAAAAGAAAGAATCTAGAATTGATGACAAAAACTAATGTGCTACAATATGAAGACAAGATTTTTCTTTCTGATTAGCATATAAACTATTCATGAAATATTTCTATTCGTTAATCTAGAAAATAGAAAAAACAAAAGAAAATCGAAGCTTCTGTTGTTGTTGTTGTTGTTGTTGTTGATCAGTTTTTAAAGTGCCAGACACATGAATAAACATACTAATAAATGACTGCCATTCAAACTAATGACAAGAATGCGAAGTGCAATCAGTAAATAAGATCTACGTTTGTTTTGCTTCTCTTACTAATGACCTTTGCTTACGTAAGCAATGCTATTCTTGATAGTTAGTATTTCTATTTTTCACGCACAACAGATTGTCTAATGGAGCCATTTACGCTTTCAGTTATCTTTAATACGTCTATTAGTGATTGAACAACAACAGCAACAACAACAAAATAATAGTTGTAGACAGATGACGATGATCTATGAGGCATAACCTAAAAACAACTGTTTGTCTATCAATTAAGTGTAATAATGCATGTTTTTTATCAATCGATGAAAATGAATTCCATTGGTGTTATTTTTCTTGTTGTTGTTATTATGACACGCCTTCAATATTATTATTTGTTGTTTTTATTTCTACGCACATCATATCTCGACAAATTCTATAGAAAACTTATTCTACCCTATTGTATACTAAAGTATCTTGCGTATATTAGCTGTGACGGAGATGTCAAAATGTTACAAGAACATACAGCTGATCATCGAATATAATATATTTTTTATATAGTGTGCGTGTGCTTTTCGCATACGTTACTTTTTTGCCGTTCTCTACATTCTTTCTTGTTCTCTTTTTTCTCTGTCTCTCTCTCTCTATTCTTTTGCCTTTATTTTTTTCACACTATTGGATGGCAAGCCCATAAGGCGAAGAAACCGGCCGAGTATTCCGTTACTATTCTCGTGCATTGCACTCACATACACACGCGCTACGTAAATTTGTCGGCATCACTTCTCGTTCTCAAATCGATTCAGTTTTCATGTGATAGACGTTGCGCACATTTTTTTTGCAATACCTTATTTTACAAGAAAAAAGAAAAAAGAAAAACGAAAAGCGAAGAGAAGGTAAGGTTTATCTCTTTCGCGTTAAATATCTATAATATGCGTGCACACACACACACACATATATATATATATATGAAACACATTTTTGAATTGATAGGCATATTGAGTGAAAGTGTATGACGATATTATGTAAGATATTGAGCAAGTGAAATGATGGTGACAATATATAGATCGTTTGTCACATACACATACACATATAAAGCACATCCGATCATAAAAACTATTTGCATATATATCAGTTAGCCATAGGGAACACATACTAGTTGAGTGCCATCATAAAAATAAGAGACGTCAATAGTATCAAATGAAACAAAATTTAAATAAATGCTTATTTCCTGGCCGATTTCCCTGTCGGTCAACTTCATTGAAGAATATTTAAAGATTGAAAGAGTAGCAATTGACCTACTTGTGAGACGATGATGTAATTTTGCCAACTAACGAACCATTATCAGGTGTATTCGTTTTTATTTATCACATACATATTTTCACAGGCAATTGGATTGAACGAAAGAGATTAAGACAATCTATTGAAGTTCACATACAATCATCTATCTATTTTTTTCTCTCTCATTCTCATCCTCAGGAAAGGTCAAAAAAATTATCTCGTTTGACGTTAGTAAACGACCAAAATCTCCTATGCTCAGATAACCTTGGCATGTTCTCTGAGATAGTGTATAATATTGCTACATGCACTTAGTATTAGAGCAATATGATATAAATAGTTATGTCTCCTAAGATGGAATAAAATGTTACTACATTTCCTTTTTATCGTCAAGTAAGTTGTAGTCTTTTTTTTATTAATAAAGAAAAATCAATTATAAATAAATGTAACAATAAAATTCTCATTAAAAATATTTTCTTTTCTTGAAAGAATATGTTGCGACCTACATAATCATCATTACCAAATAGACTTATATGTATATTGTTATTATAATAATTTTCGTGTTCATTACTGTATATAACATGCATTAGTTAAATTTATACACATATGCCTCATATATAAATGACTAACGGTCTATAGTAGTGAAGTGGTACTTGTCTTGTATATATATGTTTTTCTTTCTTGCATTAAAAAAAGAAACAATCATGAAGCGTAATATCGATACCCAAGTGAATCAATCATGTATATTGGGTGTGTCGATGTTGATGTCATCAATTAGATTCTCTAAATATATATATATATCATACATGTGCGTGTGTATGACGTATGAATAGTAGTAGACATGTCTGCTAATCATGGATTTATAATTTCTCGATCATCGTTATGTCTCTATTGCTTTACTTTCTCTTTTTTTCTTCTTCTTCTTCTTCTTCTTCTTCTCAATGTCATCTAACACGCAAAAACCCTGTACTGAATCTAATGATGATCTATACATACTATGCACGAAAGCAGTTCGTTTCTCTCTCTCTCTCTCTCACGGCTATGCACTCATCACATATTTATATTATAAATGTGTTGTACGCAATGCAATGACTTGCTCTATATGTAATAATCATCATTATCATTGACAAGGAAAAGTATTTACTGGACCATGTAAAATATGAGAGTCTTGCTCGTTATTCAGCTTTTTTCCTCTTCTACTGCCCTTCTTCTGGCTTTAGACGCTTTTGATTAATCTCTATCAATGATTTCGCTTGTATATAACGAATGCAGACAGGCATAACATACCTAGTCGATATATATATATATACACTTAAAGCGTGTATGTATGTATGTAGAAATTCAGCGATAGATTGTATTATATTAACAAGCCACTTCAAAATTGTAGGAGAGAAGGAGAAGAATACAAAAAAAAAGAGAGACGAACATCTATACTTTTTTTCGATCGAATATTAAATTGAACAGTGATGCACATAGTGAGGGTCAAAGGATGAAAGAGAATACTACTATGTATTATACGGATTTTTGATTATAGTTTTAGTTAAACGAAAATGGATACAATGAAATTCATAATTAAAACTTCATTTGGTTTATTTATTTTACTTGTTTTGGTTGATGCAGATGTTGGAAAGTCAAATATAAATTTTGATGAGCAGTGTCAGGTAAAATAGAAAAATGATGGATTAAAAAATGATTTATTTTAGAATTCTTTCATGATTAATAGGCTCGTAAATGTAATCCATTGACAGAAATCTGTCGTATAAATCCAAAATGTGATGATAGTAATCAAGATGATGTATCAAAATGTGTTTATTGTGTTTTAAAAAATGATTTAAATCAAAATACGGTTTCTAAAACTTTACTTGCCTCATCAATCGCACAACAACAACAACAACAACAACAACAACCATTAGCACCTCGTTTATTAGCGAAATCAGGTGGTACAAGGTTATTAGCTGATAATCGTGGTGGTCCATTGTCATCTTCTACTACAAAAGCAACATCAAGCTCAAATAATAATAATAATAAAACATCTGATGAATTGTCGTATGATGATTATTATGAATATGATGAAGATGAAACATCAGATAAAAATGAATTTGGTGAAGAAGACGAATATCTTGATGATTATGCTGAACCATTAGATTCTGTTGTTCAAGGACTTGAACCTATTCGTAAATTAGGTCTTTGTCCGAAAGTTGTTGAAGCTATTGGTGATTGTGATCCATCGAAAATTATTCAATCTGATTGTCGTTTTGATACTGATTGTTTGGGTGATCAAAAATGCTGTGAAGCAGCATGTGGAAAACGTATTTGTAATTCACCTATTACAAGTAAGAACATGAATTTAATTGATAAATTTCTATTAAGCACACACGTTTTGATCTATCCTCTCTTTTATTAATAGTATTAAAAATCTATAATTCGTTCGTGTAATAACAAAGTAAAGTTTTAACACAAAGAAAAAGGTTATGGAAACTAAAATAATCATAGAAACATTTTTCGCATAGCTAACAATAGTATTAAAGTTTAAAGATTTTGAGAAAAATTCTGTCAGATTTTCTTTCATTTTATTTAAAGCAAAAAAGATATCTCTTTGTTTAGTTTCTATTGTGATAAATGTTAAGTTCGTGAGCAATTTTTATTAGGTCAATGACCTTGAATGGTTAGTCGATCAAATCACAACATCATATTGCTCTTTTTTTATCTAACAGAAAATCAAAATTTACATTCTATTAATCAATATTTGATTAGGCAATGGAGCGAATGGAAATGTAACAAACAATATATATCGATTTTATTAACAATTTTTTTTTCATTACCGAAGAAAGTATTGATTACTTTGAAAAAAAGACATAATTACAAAAAAAAAAACACATGCCATTCATATAGCCTTTCTTATATTGATAAAGCTTGAAATTATTATTTCGCTTAGATATCCTTGAATCGCTTTTGTTTGTAAACTGATTTTAATCGAAACAATCAATAACCTTGAATCCAATCACAACATTATTTACTTGTGTGAACAATGTTTCTATATTTAGCTTGTCCTTAATCGAGAAAAATACATCTATTCTTCGCATATTTTATTCCATAGTTATTAAGAATAATAGAACGATTAAAAAATAATGATTCACAATCTTCTTTTCTTTTTTTTTCAGCAAGTATTTCTGTTTGTCCATCGACATTTACATGTGCACTTAATTGTCATCTTGGATATCGAACTGATTCTAATGGATGTCTTCTATGTGAATGTCAATCATGTCCATCAATGAACCAATGCAATAAAAATTGTCCATCGGGATATTTAAAAGATTTATTTGGTTGTGATATGTGTGAATGTAGTGATCAATGTCCACCGTTTTCTTGTGGTATTCTTTGTCCAGCTGATGTTGGTTTTGAAAAAGCTGCTGATGGCTGTCCATTATGTCAATGCGCAACCACAAAATCAAAACCAACAGAATATACATCATCTTGTCAAGTATTAATATTTAAAAGAAATGAAGCTTTTTTTTTTATTTTTTTCAATTAATCTTTTTCAATTAGAGTGATGTGCATTGTCCGCCAGGTTTTCGATGTCTTAATGATGCACGTAATGTGCCTATGTGTCAAGCAGGTATAATACAGTATTCTACTTCTTTAAATATTCTATGTTAATTGTGTGCCTGACTAAGTTTTTAGTTTTTTTTATATGTTTGTTTAACGCATCAGTACTTTCTCCCGTCTTTCCTTTTACATCATCAGTGTTACATGAGAAAAAAAATGTTATCAAAGAGAAAAAAAATCTTCGACGATGGATCACACAGAAAAAAAAAGAGCCAGTAATCGGGGAACTAGGAGACAACGGAAAAATAATCTATTTGTACGACTGACTATAAATTGAGTAACATAGTAATACAGCAAATTACCAATGCAAAACGAGACGTGCATGATTTATTTTGCAAAACAAAAATAATACTAATGACAAAATACCTTGTTCGCTGAATAATTTCTTTCTTTTTTCTATAATTGCGGTGTAGGAGGAGCAAAATCGACATTTTTCTTTCTATAAAAATAATCCTGTTTCGAGAACGAGAAAAAAAAAGCCGGGTGAGCGATGTGCTGTGTCTTCATACTATGATGATACAAGCAGGACAGAGGGAAAGCAAAAAAAAAAAGAAAAAAAAATAGGAAAGCGAACGAACGCTGAATAGTCCGTTGTATTTTTTTTTGCTCTGCATTTCTTCTATCATTGCGTGTGGGTTGACACATCCGATTGATTCGTCACTTTTCATTTATCGTCAATAACAACAACAAGCAATTTTGCTTTTTTTCCTTTCTTTCCAAGGAGAAATTACTAAATTTGTTATAAATCCTTGAAAACTACTGCGAGATTCTTAAATGCTTAAATTATTAAGTCTTATTTTAACGAGCTTATTGCTCTGTTATAATATTCATCAGGTTTCAACATATTTACAATCAGAAATAGGTTTGAAGCCTAAATTATTTTCTTCTTATCTATTTTTATTTTATTTTTTAATTATATTTATTTAGTTTCTGAACCTATTGCTCCATCACAACCAGATGAATGCCCATTATATAAATGTGTAGCTGATTGTGGAGATGCTGGTTATGTACTTGATGAAAAAGGTTGTCGAACATGTGAATGTGTATCAAAAGCTGCAAAAGATGTTGCATCAAAACCATATGTTGAATGCTCACGTGTAATGTGTCGTATGCATTGTGTTTACGGTTTTAGTCGTGATGAAAATGGATGCGAGATTTGTAAATGTAATAAGTCTCCACAGCCATGTCCTCGATACAACTGTGAAAAAACATGTTCAAATGGTTATCGAAAAGATTATAGTGGTAAGATAATCAGAAAAAAAAAATAGTTTTTTTTTCCTATTTATTATAATATTTTGTTTTTCAAGGTTGTCAAACATGTCAATGCGAATGTCCATCATTAGCTTGTACAAAAACTTGTACAAAAGGTTATAAAAAAGATGAAAATGGTTGTCCAACGTGTTCATGCGTAGATGATGAAACAAAACCAATAACTGATGATGGTTGTTCACCAATGAAATGTAATTTAGATTGTAAATATGGTTTTGAACGTGATCGATCTGGTTGTCAAATGTGCTCATGTAATCGCTGTCCATTACATGCATGTCGAATGTTCTGTATGTATGGGTTTAAAAAAAATAGTGATGGTTGTGATGTATGTGAATGTGATTGGACACCCATTTCAGAAAATATTACATGTAGTATGGTAAAGAAAAAAGAAGAAATTAAATGGTTTTGTTTTTTATTATGTTTTTTAATTTTCTAATAGAGATTTCCATGTACGGGTAATCGTGTATGTAATGTAAATTTGAAATTATGTGAATTAGTAAGGCCGGATAAAGTAAATTGGTTTGTTTATGATTTTGATATTGAAACGAATTTTTTCAATGATCCTAAATTTGTTAATGCATTTAAAAAGTAAAGTAGAATTAAGAATTTTTTTTTTTCGAATTTATTTAGAATATTTGTTTTTTATTTAATTATTTAGTGGTTTAATTAATAATATTGCAACGAAATATAATTTAGAACTAACACAAATAACTGTATCATCAGTTGAACATAATGGTATGACATCATTTCAAATAATGCCATTTTATGTTGAAGATATGGAGGATTTCGAAAAGAAAATGGATCAAATCGATAATGATGTAAAATTTAATTAAATAAATATTCATTTATTGAAATATTTTATTTCTTGTTTTGTTTTTAGTTAAATTCGCATGAATTTCGTAAAGTTTTACCAGCTGTTGCACGTGTAATAGAAAAAGATACCAACCATCCACATGATTCGAAATGGAATCATTTTGTTAAAAAAAATTCACTTTTTACACTTTACGTAGCTGGTATTTTACTTGGACTTACTGCACTTATTATTGCTGTAATATTTGTTCTCGTAAGTTTCAGGCTATTTTTTTTTTTGTGTAAATATTATTATTATTTGTTTCTAATAACAATTAGATATTCCGTCAACGTGTCAAGTATCCAGGTCGTTCAGAAGTAAGTACAAATTTTTGTGTGTATGTTTTTCTGACTGAATCAAAATAACTGTTTATTGTTGTAGTCTAAAACACCTATATATGATACATCGTATCAACCAGCAGCAACAGAAGATGATCTTTATCATGCTGTACATGCACCAGATGGTACAGCATATGTTGTCGTTGAAAGTGACGATATTCAAGCAACCAACGATAAACGAGCACTTGTTTAAATACAACATAAACATTGGATTTATTTTTATCTCGACTTAATATATATTAAATCTTATTTTCTTTTTTTTCTTCATTCACCGTCATACTTATTCTTCATCATCTTCTTCTTCTTTTTTCTAATTTTTATTATTACGGTGACCTTGTCATTCAGTTCGTCTTACTGTCGTTAATTAATTGAAAATTATTTCTATTTGTTTTGTACTGTACAGAGGTTCCTTTTTGTCTGCTCATGTTGTCGTAATTGAACGATATATGTATGTTCAAATCTTTTCTTTTCTTTTCTTTTCTTTTCTTTTTTTTTTTGTATGTTGAAGGTCTGCGCCTAGTAGAAAACAAATAGACAGTATTTATGTATTGTGGCCTGTCATTTTCTTATAGAAGTATATCTGATGAGTACTTTCTATTCTTGAAATATCGTCGTCGAAGAGGAGATTATTCCGCTTAGTAGACTTACAGAAGCTGTCAAAATTATACAACCGCCCTCATTACATCAAATTTATATTAACACTAATTGATGTAACGGGAGTGACTGAATAATTTTGACCTCTGCTATACATGTTGGGACACTGAAAAAAAGAAAAGAAAAACAATATTGTTAACAGAATGACTGGATGCGGAGTGACGAAGCATCTTAGTAAAGATCAAAGAACTCTCTAGAATATTCTTTAAGACGACCAAGAAGTCACGATACTTTGCGACACTTCAAATTAATTAATTGATAATAGTGATTCTTATAGAATTATCATTTTCCAATTGAGAAATTTTTTATCCGTTGAAAGCTATGTGAAATCTACAAAATACAAAGACACTAAATTACATATATTTAGTACTATAATACGAAGGATTTTCGTACAAACTAGATGGCACGCACAATAAGCCAGTGATACGAAGTAATCATCAAAATGGGCTTATCATAAAGCTTTTGAATTAGTCGAAATGTCTAATTTACGAAAGTTCTTGACACGGTTTTCCTTAATTCTTTTTATCGCAAATTTATTCTAATTGTTGATTACTTAGAGAAATAGAATTCAAATGTCAAGAAGACCTTCGATATGACAAAAATTTTCGAAAGATGGCAGGAACATTCCATCTAATGAATACTGTCTATTGCTTTTGCAACTCACTTTTTTTATTATTTGGAAAAGAAATAGAGTTCTCACTTCAAAATTATCATGTTGTGGAGAGAATTGAGAAAAAACGAAAGTCATACGACTCTTCAATCTTCCAATCATTGTGGCATCAATATTCCAAGAAAAGAAAATCGAAACCAACTACTGTACTGAAAAAAGAAAGAATTTGACACCTTAACAATAAGTATTTATTACGTCTAAAGAAATTCAGACACAGTCATAGACAATAAACTGTGTGAAGTGTTCAGAATATGCTGTTGAAAACTTCATAATGCTATTGGCATGTATCATAAAAAATACTTTTTTTCTGTATCTTCCATTTTTATTGTTGTTAATTCTTGTATTACAAAGTATCATTAAAATTTGTCATAATATGGAATCATATTTTCTTTTTCTAATAAATACCCTTCGATATTGTATTTCATATTTTTTTTTTATAAAATATTATTTGAATTTTATCTATTCAAAATTCTATAATCGATAAAAAGAAGTAAATAGGATTTGAATTCAAATAGAAAATCAATCATATTATGAAAACAATAAGATATCTTGTTTTCATTTTAATTATTTATCAATAAATAGATATGAAAATTTTGAAGGCTTGTTTTTTTCTCTGTCGTTTCTTATCTTTTGATCATCACATGGTTATTCATCTAACAATCATATTCATGATAACTGAGACGGGTGTAATTTGTGCTGGTACCATTGTTACAGATTATGTTGCTGTTGTTGATAGATGACCAGCAGAAAATTCTCTAGCAAATATATATCATCAAATAAAAACAGGTGGTGGCGGTCCATTTAATATCATTAAAGATTTACGTTTAATCGATAAAAATTTACCATTATCAATTGTTGGTTTATTAGGTAATGATGATAATGGTCAATGGTTAATAAATGATTGTAAAAAATCGAATATTGATACTGATCAATTGCATATAATAGATGATAATACACCAACATCATATACATATGTAATAAGTGTTGAATCAACTGGTCGACGAACATTTTTTTAGTCAACGTGGTACTAATTCATTACTTAGTTCTATACATTTTGATTTTAATTATTTGGTTAACGAAAAACATTGTACTTTATTTTATCTTGGTTATTTAACATTACTTGATGGATTAGATCAAATTATTAATAATGAAACAATAGCAGCAAAAGGTACTTAAAAAAGCTAAACAATATGGTTTAGAAACAATTATTGATTTCGTTAGTGTACATACATAATCCATTATATTCTAAAATAGCTCAATTAACATTACCATTTGTTGATCATTTAATTTTAAATGAAATTGAAATAGGTCTTATACTTAATCAATCATTTCAACAAGGAACTATTTCACAAATTGAACAAGCAGCAAGAATATTAATTGAAAATTATGGTATACAACGTACAGTAACAGTTCATTTTGATTGTGGTGCTGTTTGTGTTAGTCGAGAAAATAATTTAAATATTGAATGTTTTTATCAAGGATCACTTTATCTTCCACAGGGATATATTAAAAGTGCAGTAGGTACGGGTGATGCATTTGCTGCCGGTATTATTTATGGAATTTATAAAAATTGGTCAATTCAAGAACGATTACGTTGTGGTATTTGTGTTGCTGCTATGTGTTTAAAAGATCTAACATCATATGGTGGTGTAGGAACTATTGAAGAATGTTTGCAATTGAAAGAAGCATTTTGTTTTCGAACATTGGAACTAACATCTTCTATTCATGATATTGAAAATTAAGTTATAATTTTAACCTTTTTTTTTGTCGATTGAGTGATTAGCATTGAAGAAATTTTTTATTTTATAGATAAAATTTTTTCTAGAATTGTTTATAGAAAAAGAAAATCATAGTTGTAGTTCGTGTCTATATTATTTAATAAATAATTAAAATCAACAAGTTCTGTAAAAAAATATTTGCTTAGAACGTATTGTTTAGTAGATTGTCATTTGTTAATAATACACATTTTTTATGACACTCAATGTCTGTTCTTATTCAGATAAAATCATTATTAGCATTTTGATTTAGACATCTGGAAATTGATATATAGATCTAATTTATATCTTCTTATGTATTTATTGTAATCATACCTCTTTTAATATATGTGTGAAATATTAAGTAGATCAATTTCAATGACACTTATATGAAAGGTTTAAGCCAGTTTTGAGAATGATGACATTTTCTGTTTCAATTAAGTAAATTATTTTTGATCTTTATAAGTTGAATAAATTAAAAAAAAAAAAGAAATGTCAGTACACGTTGTTGTTTATTTTTAATTGCTCTTGCCCCTGGGTACTAATTCAGTAGAGTAATAGCTTATGCGATTGCTGATTACGACACTGATATGGTTAGGTTTTAACGAAATCATTTCACTAGAAAGCTACACAATGAACCATACATGACCTATTCGTCTGGAATGACATAAAAAATGAATTTATTGTTAATATGATTTTTCTTTCGTAGTTATGTTGTTATTTTATGTAGATAAAGCTGAAAACCTACTTATCATGACTTATTTTTTTTAGACATTGACAAAGACAACTATTTTCGGATTGAAATCAGCTCTTTTGTTTTTTGAGTTGTATCTTGATTGTCTTTCTATAATATGAAATCAGTGATTCTGATTCGAAATTATTCATTTCTATTATTAAGCTGTCGCCTAAATGGAAGACTATAACAAACACTGTACCTTTCAATCATTTATCAATAAGAATTTGGTTAAAAATCACTGTTGAAGACTTTTTTGACGGGCTATCAGTTCTAACAAAACTTTTTAACATGAAGATCGTCTTATACATGTATTTATATTGAAAATAAAACAATTCAAGAAAAACAACATTTTTCATATTACTCACTACAAGTAGTTCAAAAAATAACCAAATTGTCATAACAAATGCTATTTTCATATCTGTAATCAAGAAATTTTAAAAAACGATTCTACAAATAGATTATGTCCACTGTAGTATATATCAATCTGGCAAATATCAGAATAATTAGTTTAAAAAAAAACATTGTTAATCTTAATCAAGGAATAATGAAAAGAAGCTTTATTTGTTTTTTACGAATTGCAATTTATTGAAGACTCTAGATAATATTCAGGGAGTATCTTTATCCTATGCTTACCTACTCCAAATAGATAGTTTTTTTTTATGAATGAGTCAAAAATTACTCGACAGGAACGTAAAGAACTAAAACAAATTTACATGAATTCTTCAGTGTATATATAAGTAACTAAGTAATGAATGGAAATAGGAATCATATGCAACACATATTTTAGTTTCATACAGAATTATTCTAAATGCAATAAGAAGACTTGAGATAAACATCTATATTAACATAATGATATAATTACATTCACACTTTAATTAATTATGTATAACTATTATGTTTTATCTCTGTAACTGTTAATTTTTTTTTAAACTAACTAGTAAAATTTGGACAAAATAACTTCTGTAAATTCATAGATATTTAAGTATAACACAAACTTTTGCGAACAAATATGTCTTATTGTCATAATATATAGAAACAGAAGTTGTTTTTCAATAATAAAGCGCAAAAAAACTTAATCCTATAAGAGTACTTTTGAAATTCAAAATTTCGTTTAAAAGTCGAGTCAGCTATGATAAACATGAAAGCATGAATCAATACAAAGTGCAACGTTAAAAATTGTACATTTGTGTCTTGATTTCTGTCTTATTAGAAGCTGTTTGATTTCACTTGGAGAGGGTTCAAAGATGGAAAATGCCAGTAAACTAACCGCGCTAGTGTATGTTTGCTTGACGATGTTCCTCTTCTCAATCGCCGATATGAAACATCCGAAAAGGTAGAGAGAGACTTCGCTTAGTGCAGGATGTTAGAGTCGATACAAAGCATACTAAGAAAACAGACTTAAGGAAAGGTAGTCTTCATCTTTTCCATAAATATTGCTTTGACGAGTATACTCGTCAATAACAGTTTAAGAGGTTAATTAATTTATGATTATATAGTCATATTTTTTTAATGTTTCATGACCACCTATTTCTATTATTTCGTTTTCTTTTTATATACTTTTGTATATATACTAAAGTTTTATTAAATGTATTATTATTTTCGTTGATAATGAGCATACATAATAAAAAAGTCGAAAATTTCAGATTTGTAAAATTAGAATTCAGATGGCATCATTTTTTTTTCTTTTTGCATTCAGTATTAAGAAAAATTAGAATTTTGAAAATGAAAATGAACATATGAATTGCATATAAATATTGATAATTTCTAAATAATTCAATAATTGCATTACGATTAACAATAGTATTTATAATAGCTTGAATACATACAGACGAGAATGCTTGTAATACTCATTATCAAGGTTTTTTTGAAATAAATGAGTTGAAATAGATTCTTGTTTTTGTTTTTTTATTTGCCGTCGTTTTAGATCTTAGATTATTATTTCTAACTAAGAAAAAAAAAAAGTATTCACAAACATGCAATCCTGTGCATATGTTATGTTCATTTTTCAGAAAAAAATTCTATGTGGGCTTTCGTCAAGAAGATTAAATAAATTCTGTGTCTGTTTTTGAAAACAAGGAGACCATGTAAACTTCAAATTCAAGTCGATTGTTCTATTTGTCTTATGAATAATATGTGTAAAAAAAAAGTAATGTGTTTTTGTTTTGTGTTGTCAAGCATTTTCAATAAAATAATCAGATAATTTTGGTAACCACATTTTTTTTTCTTGTTGCCTATCCTATCTTGAATAATACTTTAATATTCTTTATTTTTCTTTGGCAAAAAGTAAATAGATAAACATAACACACATTCAATAGAAACATAAAATCAAAAGAATTATTGATAAGTAAATCAAGACATCTATTTTTATGAACTAGATTTGTCACATGGCTGAAATATTTTATCCTGCAGGAACAAGAGAATGAGATTTATCGTAAAGTACAAATTTAAAACGTTCAAAATTCTATTATATACGTTGATCTTAGACAATAGTATTTCTTTTCAAACAAAAGCAATGCAAGACAGTAGATGGAAAAGAACCGAATTTTTTTCTTGAGTGTTCTTTGTATGCATTGGGTATGTAGCGTTGTCAAGAAGAAAATGAGTTGCCCATTCGTTTCTTATGTAAACCGAAGCAATTCAACATCTTTTAAGCAAATAAACAATATTCCAATGGCAAGAAACGAGCTTACACTGTGTCCTTTTTTTCTCTTTTTCTTTCTCTCTTGTATTGTCTTCACAACACAATATGTCGTCAACACCAGCTTCTTCGTCTGCAGCAGCACCAACATCAGGCGTTCAATCAGCGACTAATAAACCGAAACAAGATTCATCTAAAGAAGGTAATAATGCTACTACAAGCATACAACAATCAACTCGTCCACCATCAGCAACTAAACAACCAGCAACAGCAACAACTACTGAAAATCGACCTGGATCAGCAGCAAAAAATTCATCACAAGATACTGCTAATAGGCCATCATCTGCTGTAAAAGTTGATCCTGCTCTTACACCAGCTCTTGATGCAACAAATGCTGCTCCAACAACTGCAAGACCACCATCAGCTAGCCAAAAACAGGATGGAACAGCAACAAACACTACTACAACCGTTCCGCCAGGCTCAAGGCTACCATCAGCTAATAAAAAACCAGAAGATGCAACTGCAAACACCGCTACAACTGTTCCACCAGGGTCAAGACCGCCATCAGCGAGCAAAAAATCAGAAGACACAACTGCAAACACTGCTACTACTGCTCCGCCAAGCTCAAGACCACCATCAGCGAGCAATGCTGCTCCTGCTCCACCAGGCTCCAGACCACCATCGGCTATTCGAAAACAAGAAGAAACAGCTGCAAACATAAGCACTGCCGGACAACTCGATGCATCGGCTTCAATTGATCCTAATATAACAAAACCAATTATAGGACGACCACCGTCAGCAGCCAAAAAAGAAGCTAGCGAAGGACCTACTGCTACTGCTGTTCTCGCTGCTGCAGTTCCACTGAACAAGTTATCAGGAGATGCATCATCATCTGACAATACCAATTCAGTTTCGGCTTCCGCTGCAGCACCTTCTGTTCCATCACGTGCTAGCTCGGCATCCAAAAAACCTTCAACATAAACTTTTATGGGAAGCAATTTTTTATTGGCTGAGTTATAAGATGAACTTTTATTTTTTTGCGCGTCTATATTTTTCTTCAAATATTTTTTTTTCCACAGCAAAATATACTTTGAAAAATTCTTTTTTTAATGAATAACCTAACATTGTTTATGATTTCTGGTTCATCATTTATATTTTCTCTTGTTGGTATTATCTACATAATATTCATTATAACAAACAATTCATCTACAAAAACACAAACACTTGATATCACTGAAGATCTTCAACGAATTGATACAAGAGATCCATTAGCACCAAGATTTTCAGACAAATTTATTATACATTCTTCTATTTCATAAATAATCTGTTTTTTTTTTCCATCATGGCATCATATTTATATATAAAGAATTTGTTTTTCTTTTCTTTTTCAATAGAAAAATCAAATAATCATCTGACAACAACATATGCACTTTGTTGTTAATTTCGCCATTTTGCAGTCTAGAAAAGAAACAAAGTAAATTAACTTATTAATGAAATCTGTTGTTTTTTTTTGTTTCATTGTTTACTTCTAATAATGAAGTAGCTCGATTAAATGATGGATGATCACGAGGTATACGTTTACGTAAATTTTCAAATCGTATTCGATCACGAAGAACAAAAGCAATAGTCTTCGAAAGACAAATATGAGAGAAAAAAGAATATTTTAATCATCTAAAAATCATACACTTACATCCATAGCAACATCATAATTTTGAAACTTTTCTGCATAATAAATTCGTCGTTCTGGATTTTGTATCATATTAAGAAATTGTTCTGTTTTTTCACTTGCTTTTTGTTGTCCTTCACCACTTAATTTTACCCAATTATAGACCATATCAGCAAAATTTTCTGGTGCTATGATACATTTCTTACCAAAAATAGTCTTTAACAAGAAAAAATAGTTTTTATTTTTCAGAATAATAAAATAAGCACCTGATGCATTGCATAATGAATAAAATCTTCATAATGCATTCGTAAACCACATTGCATTATTACGGATAGTTTACCACATATGATCATTTCTGGAGACATCTTTTAAATAAAAAAAAATAGTTTTCAATATTAATGAAATAAATCATTTCACATGAAAAGCTCTTTCGATTTCTTTACTATGTTCGACAGTCTAAAAGACAAAAAAAATAATAATAATGTTTCAAAATAAGTTAGCTTTACATTTTTATCTATATTTCGATTAAATTTTTGTTGTCGGAAGTCTATATCAAATAGTACTTTATATGTATCAAGTACAGTTCGATTTCCAAGATTAACATTTGATTGTGTAGATGAAATAGACTAATTCAAAAATAAATTTCATTTAAATAAATCACAAATACTTCTTTAATTTACTCTTTGTAACTCTCGTTGTTTATTAAGTAAATGTTGATATTCAGTGACTTGTAAATGCCACCAAGGATGTGAATTAATTTGACTAAATTTAATAAAAATTTAGCTATGAAAAATACATATATAAGTATCGAATATACGTTGCTGCTTGATCTAATAAAGCAATTTTGCTATTCATATCATTTACTTGACTTGCTTGTCGAATACGTATCATCTTAAACAATTAAGTATTTCAATTTATATCATGTGTTTGCTTTTCTTTACTTACACCGACTTCTTCATATTTACCAAATTGTCTTTAAAAAAAAGTAACAAACATATTAACTAAACAAGCGATGTATTAGATAAACTTACTTAAGCGCTGATATATAATAATCATTTTCAACATGTAATTTAGCAATATTAAGATAACTCTTAACTGCTGATGGATGTGGCCGAATTAGTTCGTAAAATAAAGGTTTTGATAATGTGTTTTCCAGAAATAGTATTACCTATAAAATACAAATATAATTTTTAACAAGATCTGATATTGATGGAAAACTTCAAATTTCGTCTATTTCGAGAACTGATGAGGGAATTCCTTCAATTGATAGATCGTTTCTATGTACATTATTTGAACTCAAATGAACTATCAAACATCCTAAAAAGAGTTCATGCCTTTAGTTTACTGTTGTGGAGACATTGCATTTTTACGCTATTTTTAATGAATGCCGTGGTATCCATCAGGAATAACAGAAAAAATGATTCTTGATTTTCAACTTGAAACTTTGCATAGAGACAAGGCTTAGCCAAAATAGTTTCATTTTGTCAATGTATCAGATTTTATCAGTACTCCTATCTAAAGACACAGCTATGCTAATAGTGTGTCTTTTACATCGCTCATATAAGTCGGCATATTTGATGCTCGTATTTTCGAATAAGAACAAATCACACGATCTGAAACTTTCACAATAAACTATGATCGTGAAGGCTTGTCTCTTTGTAGAGTCTCAGGCCAAAAATCAGTTATTCTGGTGCTCTTGAAGAGAACCACAGCATTTATTTTAAAAAGAGATCGTAAAAATGCCGTATCTCTGCAGCAATAAGCTAAGAACATGAACTCTTTTCGCTCATTTGGAGCGACATAATACACACAGTCTTGACTCAATAGCGACTTGTCAGTTGCGAAACTTCCCTGGTCTACAAGGGTCAATGGTAACAGGTGCGCCAGAATAAATAGCCTTTTAAACATTTTCTTGATATCTATGCTTCAATCTTTTTTTTTTCTAAAGCTTCGTAATTCGATTTTCTATAAAATATTAAGCAGAAATATTAGATAAATAATATTGTGAAACACTAACATGCCGAGTTTTCAAAAGTTGATTTTTTTAAAGCAATTCAACACAAAGATGGAACCGGTCTAAAATTCATATCGATACTGAACTGACGAGTTATCGTACTATTCCATCTGTGGATAGTAATATTTTACATAATTAACTTTCAACAAAATTTCATTGCGTATCCTTTATAAGATATTAAGAGCAAAAAACCTTATTAAAATACTCCAGCAACAACTGGTCGACCGGTCAGTTTGAAATTCATTCGTGCACCGGTTCCGTCTCTGATTTTCTCACTCAGTACAACTATAATATTATTTTTTCGTTAGATTAAAACTCTAGCGAGTAGACCTAAACAGACCGCTGTTAATTTGTGAAAATTAAATGAATTAGAATCATACAGTATTATTTAATATCTAGTTTTGTAGCAAAACTTGTGATATGTTCTTGTAGAAAATTGAATCGTGAGTCTTTTTTAAAAAACGATTAAGGCATGGTGAGATTATAAAATTGATACAAACGAGTTCTCTAGGTGAAAATCTCAAATGTTCGACATTCGAAAAGTCAATCCGATGATCTTTAGTACAGCATTGATATTATAAAACTGACTTCAAAAACAAAAGGAAACTGAGAAGAATTTTGACTTTAATCTCTCCTTAGAATATGAAACTAATACTGTAGAATTTTATAAATCAACATTTAATTACCGGTATAGTAACTTTTGGTGTATTAAATGAAACAGCAATACGTAATAACGATACTTTTTTATCATAATCTCGACAAGCATATAAATTAGGACTCTAAAATTAAAAAAAAATTCTATCTAAAAACCCAAACGAAATGTTCTTCATTATCTACTCTATTTTCCATTAATTCTTTGCAAAGCATTTGCATTTCTTGATCATGTCTTGTAGTTCGATCTTTGATAATTGGATTGACTAAAATAAATTAATTTACTAATGATATATATATTGAATTGAAATATATTACCATGCTGTTCTGTATTTGTTCGCCATTGAGCATTAGAATTTTCATCATGCAATACAGCAGCAGAACGTGAACGATTCATTTGATTAGCTAAAAAACTTTTATTGAATTTTTAATTAATTTTAAAATAAAAAATAATACAATGTTGATGATGAAGCATTGCTTGTGGAGGTTTCGAACGTGGATGAGGAAGAGATTGTATTGATACATTATCATCTTGTTCTTCACTATATTTTGGATGTGTCAAATGATCACTTGAAGATACATCATTTAATTGAGATTGCGAATGACCAGATAAATTTGGACTCGCATTAACAAAACTTTGTTCCAATTTTTCTAATTGTTTACCTACTTTACGGAATATATTACTATGAACTTTTTTCATTGGTCTTGGAGTTTCATTAGCCATTATTGCCTTAAGAAATTTTTCTTTGAGATATGCAGATAATAAATACAAGTGTCTGCTTTTTTTTCAAACCATTTATATGGATGAATGCATGATTAGACACAATAAAACGTCAGCTGTTACGTTTCTTTTTTCTCGTATTCTGTTGGTCGTCAAAAAAAAATACACGAAAAAAACCGTGAGTGAGTATCATAAATAGACAAGACTCGTATCTCATTATATATTTTTTTTTCGTTCTTACATTCACTAAGGTGATCGAATATGCATGAAGCTTTTCTTTTTTGACAGTGTTACTTTAAACAACGTGTTTCATGTTGTTTTATTGTTATCAATGAATTGTTTATTTTTGTTGTTATCGAAGAATGATAACAATTTCATGTTACTTTAACTTCAATATATTATTTAACGGGCGACTCAAAATGAGAGATCTGCAGCGAAGTCAATTTCGAAGTCTCGTTGGAGTTAACTAAATATGTCACTAATATATCAGATTTAACATAGAAAGTATTTTGAATTGTAAATTTTTCTTCTTTTTGAATATAATATCAACAGATGCTGTATTGGATCAGTTAAAAAATAATATGGATTTCCTCCAACAAGACTACTCTTCGTCAACTTTGATGATATTACAATTTCAAGAAATTATTTTGTATGATTTGCACAATTTTTTCTGGATCTTTTTTCTTGAGCTTCATTAATCGTTTTTGGAACTTTTCTATATTTCCTGATGACCACTAATGTTCATCGACGTAAATTACGACTAATAGCTGATTAGTTAACTTTAAAATGTTTAGATAATTTACTTTGGCTGATACCATAACGCTTGTTAGTGGATTTCACTAGCTGTTTTCTAATTGTTTATTGGAAAGTTTTGATGGACGATTTGTTTTATAAAGTAATTGACTGTTGCCTTGCAAGATTTATAAGATGCATCGATATAAAAACTGCAAATCTATTGAGCAAGCTTTTCCCTTTGTGCTCGTGTCATTTCTTTTATGAACGTTTAACAAAAGCAAACTATAGTAAAACTTCTCTAATATAAACACTATCTGGATTGGCCAAAAGTGCTCAGTTTACGGAGGTGATCATTATTGGGCGATTTTCATATTTTTGTCAAATGAAAAGTATTCACTTGCAATCGCTTTTCGATTGCATAAGGTGAGTTTTTTTTCTTCTTTTCAATAACTTATTAATTGAATTTTTTAAAAATAAAGGTACATTAATACATATTGACAAGATTTGATGTAACTAACTGTTAACAAAGCATGACGAAATATTTCACCACGAACTGTTAGTCCATCTCCTTCTTACTTACAGGTACTCCAAAAGTATCCAGATACATAAAGCCACTCACATTCTTGCTCAAAATCAATGTTGGTTCAAGTGCATGTAAATCGTATGAAATTTTCAAGATATGTTGGCACTGAAGTGACAAGACTATAATAAAACTTTCAGCCCAATAACATGACGTTTGAGTGAGATATTCACTAAACAAAGGTTAACAATGGTAAATTTGGCAACTCAAAGTTCTCTGTGACGCTTCATCCTGTATATTCCAGTTTGTTTTTGTCTGAAAGAGTATGTCAGAATACATGGCATGACAGAACCCTCTGTTCTAAATTTCTTTTTTAAATAGAGAAAATGGATGACTAGTTAAATAATCCAAAACACTGCCATTTTTTTTTAGATCTTTTTTCGATAGTAAATTGGTTATTCACTTTCCTCGCTCAAAAAGAAAGATTTAGAAAAGAGGGTTCTGGCATGTTATGCATTCTGGTATGCTCTTTCGAACAAATAAAAACTTGAATATACAGAATGAAGCATCACAGAAAACTTTGGGTTACCAAATGAACCATTGTTAACCTTTGTTTAGGGAATATCTCTCTCAAGCGTCATGCTATTGGACTGAAAGTTTTACCATAGTCTTGTCACTTCAGTCCCAACATATCTTGAAAATTTCATGCGATTTACATGCACTTGAACCAACATTGATTTTGAGCAAGAGTGTGAGTGGCTTTATGTATGTGTCTGGATCCTTTTTGGAGTACCTGTATGTTGCTTGATTGTTTATCATTGTGCTAGACACATAATACCATTTTTTTTCTCGTTCTGCATGTAAGTAATATACCGTACGTTGCTCATATTATGGAGGTTGTTATTACTCTCAGGACTAAAAATAAGCACTCATTACTTAGAATAAGGAGGTGCTTATAATATAGAGGCTCATTTTCAGCAAAATTCGTTCGGCGGATTCTGAACCACTCAATATATGGAAGTCTCATAATGTAGAGGGGCTTATATTGAGAGGTGTTACTATATTTATAATTCGAAAGAGGAGAAAATTTTCTATTGATTGCTAAAAAAAATTTTCTTTCCAGAATCATGTCTATGAAACAATATAAAGACATACATTTTGTACCATTACTGTTGCACCGTATGTTATTTCGTGCATATATGTTGTTATTTAATAACTATCAAAATAAAACATTTTATTCATGTTTTTTTACATGTGTAAAAGCTTACAGCTTTTCCAAAAATAAATTCATTGAAAAAGTGAACAAAATCAATAAACGACTACAAATGTGCATATCAATCGTAATAAACGAAAATCATTGTGAATATATTAAATATTCGTCTGTTGGGATGAATAAAAAAATGATGTAAAAACATTGTAATCTTATGAAAGATGATTTACTTGTTGAACCAAATTTAGTGCTTGAATAATAGCTTGTGAATCTTTTCTAGCACGTGACGCACAATTTTCAATTATCTCAGCTGCATCATATCGACCTTGTCGTCGATAAAGTAAACTAAGACTTTTTAATGTGGTTGCTACTGATGGTATATTAATTTGAGTTGTTTTATACCAATTATTTTCTATATCATTATTCCTAATTTTTGTTGATAATTGAAAACCTTTTTCATGCGCACATGTAAGAACATCTTTATATAATTGCTCAGCTTCTATGTATTTTTGTTGTTTTAAATAAGTTGATGCAAGATTATTTTTTGTTTTAACTACATTTGGATCATTCGATCCAAAATTATTTGTATAAATATCAATTGCACGTTTATAATATGATTCAACTTCATCATATTTTCCTTGATTTTGACAAATGAAGGCAAGGTTATTCAGTTGTTTAGCGACATCAGGATGTGACGGACCTAAACATGTTTCACGAATTTCAAGGGCACGTTTACATAATGGTTCAGCTTCTTTGAATTTGTTACGTTTACCTAGAAATAATAGAAGATAATATTTCTTTTATTGAGATAAAAAAATTAGATAGTATACTATAAAGAACAGCGAGATTATTTAATGTGGCTGCTACAGCTGGATGATCAGATCCAAGTGTTTTTTCTCGAATAGCAAGTGCATCATAGAGTAGTGAACTTGCTTCTTTAAATTTTGATTGATCACGATACACAAGTGCAAGAATATTGAGCATAGTCGCAACATCAGGATCTAAATGAAAAGAAACTTATTGCTAACAATAGTTAAACTTCCTTCAACTTATTGGTAGTTTAGGGGAAAACATACTTCAAAATGAAACAAATAGAAATATGATGTGATGAAAAAATGTCTTTTTTTCAGTTCATTTTCAAATGTATGTGATCTCAATAGTTCGTCGGTTTAAAATATCGATATTACATTATTGACAAAGATTTTTTTCATGTAGAAAATGTTATTGTCCTTGTTTGCAATAAAATTAAAATAAATAAAGATTTTTTTTTTGGTGTGGAAGGCAATTAAATATTGATTCAAGTTAGTCCTACAATCCATATATTCGATTTTCAGTATTTACCGACTCATATAAAATTCAATGGTTTTTGAAAAATTGATTATACTCATTTCCAATTTTAAGAAAGTTTCATATTGAGCTAAATAATGACAATCGAAAGTTTTCTCTTCATATGTCGCATCTATAACGTCAATGAATTATGACTTCATTAAGAAATTCTATCAAGTATAGATAAAAGTTTTTATTGAATTTCTTCGATCAAGATCTCTATAGCTCTTCTGCTTATTTGAGCGTGTCATTCCTTCCATTGGTGATGATACACCTTGGCAGAGATGAAACCGGTATCGGAATGAATTTCAGATCTGTCGTTACTAGTTTGTCTTATTAATTGTTTTGCTCTTAGTATTTTATAAAGGATGTGTAATGGAACTTTCTTGAAAGCTGACTATGTCAAATATTAATATTCACAGATGAAATAGTACTACAATCCTTCAGTTCAGTGTTGATATGAATTTCAGATTGATCTCATCTTTGCATCTTGGTGTTTCAATATTTTTTAGTAAATATCTCATGCAATAGAAACGTTTAGAAATTTTTCTTACGTTGATGTCCTGATGTTTTCTCTAGATCTTCAAGTGCTTGTCGACACAAAGGTATAGCTACTTCATATCGTCCCTGAGATGTATATTCAGTAACTAAACTATGTAAAGTTTTTAATCTATTTGGTATTTCACAACCATTTACTGAAATAAATGAACCGTTCGCAGATTGTGATGATAACATTAATAGATCAGCGTCAGAATCAATTTTGTTCAAATGATTTTGTTGATTATCTAAAGAAATATCTTGTTCATTATCGTCTAATGGAAATAAATCATTAATAAAATCTTGTTCATGAATTTGATCATCATTAAAATCTATATTTATTTCTGATATTGTTTGATTAGTAGAATTTTCATTATCATTATCAAATAGTTTAATATCTTTTAAGAATTTTAAATTTTCAAGTTCACCTGTATAAGAAGCATTGATTTGTTCAGATTCATGTAATTTTCTTTGTGTTGATCCTAATTGATCACGTAACCAAGCGTTTTCTTGACATAAACATTTAATTTGTGTACGTAATTTATGTTTTTCACCTTCAAGATTTTGTAGATGATTATCTATTTGCATCGTTACTTGAGCTTCATCAATTTCTATTTAAATTATGAAAAGTTTTAATTTCAAAAACTTCTTTTTGTCTGTACAAACCTGAATCAA